TCTTCAGATCCTAATGTGATGTGATTCCTTCTCCTCCCCTGCTAAGCATTTTGCTTCAGTGCATACCCATCCTGTAGAAGGTCTGTAACTGAAGCCCCAGGATGTGACCACACGTGACCATACCTTTCTATTACTTTATGTAATTGTGTCAAATGGTGATAATAGGGCCTCATCATTAACTAATTGCCAGTCTGCTTTTCATTTAAAGCTGCTGCTGTCCTTATCCTGCTTTCTTACCCTTGGATAAGAAAGGATACCAATTCTTGTTCAGGTTAAAAAATAAAGTCTTGGTTGCCAAGGTTGAGGTGGCTTGTTTTAGACTAACTAGAGTTATTTTACATCTAAGGATTCTTCTGTTGCCAAGCGCATTTTTTGTTAACAATTTGGTATTTGGACATTATTATTACTAAGATGTGGTAAAATTATATGGAATAGTTGTATTTGACTATACAGTTGCTGGCTATAGTAAAAGTGCTTTGAAATCTATGTTTCATTTAATTCAATTTCCAAGTCTCCTTTTCAGATGTTTTTAATGTCTGTCTTTATACAGGTAACCTGAGTACTGTTCAAAATCCACACATCCCTGCCTTATGTAGGTTTATGTTAATCAGGCTTTGTTTTAGAAATACGACATTCTGAAGTGTTTTGGTAGATTGAAAATAAGACAACTATGCCCGAAGTCTTTTCTAGGAAGTTCTTTTTCTAGTGGATTATAACTACAGAAGATAATTGAAGTATTTGTATACATGAATTAGGCACTAAAACTTTCAGAAAAAATTACTTTCCTGAGATTCAGAAGTCTTTGTCTCTTAATCCTGTGAAGATCTTTATATTTCCACAGAAGGCTGGGCATAATGTGGTTCTTGTCACAGGAGTGCTGACAGCCTGGGTCCAGCTTGTGAGACAGTTCAGTGCTCCGAAAGCTGCTGCTACGTCCTCATTCTATGAGAGGAGAAGATTGCTGTCACTTGACTCTGGGAACTGTTCTACAGAAGAGCCTCAAAATTGTCAGCTAAACTGCAGCACTGAAAAGCTGAGAACACTTACATTGCTGTAAATTATATGTGTATAAATAGAGGAACAGAGCCAGGGTTTGTGGCATGTTTGGAGATCGGCACTTAACTGCCAAAGATGAAGAGCCTCCTTGCAGCAATCAACGTGATTATGGCTTCTAAACAGCTTACCTGCTACTTGCAGCCCCATTGAATTTATTGGGAAGAGGGAAGTCATGGAACTCTTGAAAATAATTTCCTACCTCAGTTGTGGTTAGGGTGAAGCTTCAGGGCATTCTTGCTGTAGCAGCTGCAGCATAGCAGTGAAGTACAGCTTTTGGGGGTTAGGTGATGGAAAACAAAGGTAGGAGAGGACTAGCTGCCTGTGGTATTGATTACACGCTGTGAGCCAGCATGCATGGAGCTCTGCCTCTGTTTGAATGAGGACCCAGATGAGAGCTTATGGATCAGGATTAATAGGACCACCAGTGTGGGAGACGACTACAACAGCAGTTGTAGATTTCTGCTACAAACCAGCTGATCAGGAAGAAAATGCCGTTTTCAGACAACTGGAAGAAGCCTCACATTCACAGGCCCTTGTCTTCATGGTGGGGTTTCAACCACATCAATATCTGCTGGAGGGACAGCACAGGAGAGCACAAAAGATTCAGGAAGATTCTGGAATGCATTCATGGTGACACACGTGACACAAGTGATTGAGGAGCAGAAGAGGGAATATGCTAGACCTTACACTTAGAAACAAGGAAGAACTGGTTGGAGATGTGAAGGCTGGGGGGAAGCCTTGTCTACAGTGACCATGAGGTGGTGGAGTTGAGGATCCTGAGAGTAGAAGCAAGACAGTAAGTGGGATCACAACCCTGAACTTCAGGAGAGACAACTCTGGCCTGTTCTTGGCCTGCTTGGAAGAATTCCATGGCATGGGATACAATCTGGGAATGAAGAGGGGTATAGGAGAGCTGGTCTAGGAGAGCTCAAGATTGATCTGTCTTTCAGGAATTTACATTGTCATAAATCTTCATATTAAGATTGCCAGGGAGGAAATGTTTTCTTGATTATATTTTGAATATGCAGCAGCCAGAATCTCGTCAGGAGGTGGGAACTCATCATTGTGCAGCTCTGGCTTTCAAACTCCTTTATTCTGCAATTCTTTATGCTTGGTGACTACCATCAGACTCCATACTAGCTATTGAAAGGACTCAATTCTGTTCCCCATGACAGCATTTCCAGGTGCTTTTACAGAAGGTGGCTTGCTTATTCCTGAATGGCTGCTAATCTTTCACCTTCTCCATGCCAGTTTAACTCTTTGGCTTTTGTCTTATACTGCCATGCTTGTCTAGGACAATACCACTTACTTTAGGACCATACCACTGTGTTGCAGTGCTTTACTTCAGGCCATGCTTTGTTTCTTTCACCTCCTGGTGCTAAGAAATCCATGGCCTTGGCAGCGATTCCCATTGCTAGTGTAAGGATAAGGTATTTTGCAAGATAATGTTTTGGGGAGTGTTTCCTAGAAGGTGGTACAGGTGAGTTGCTACCTTGGCATATCTGAGAATGGATAGGAAGAATCTGGATAGATGCCAGCATTTAAATATAGTTAAATGAAGTTGTGCACTTTGAGCGTGGATGTGTGTGGGAGCACAGATAGCGGATAGTGTGGTGGAAAAGCCTGTGCAGAACCACAGGGCCGCTGGTTTTAAACAGATAAAACTCCCTTCTCTAGCTTGATATGGTCCGGCATTCAAGGGGTCGTGTCATGAGTGCAGCTTTTTAATTAGGGGCAACTAGACCTCAATCACCTGGCTTGGGTCTTGGTGTTGTCTGCTGGGGAGAGCGTGTAGTACGCGTTTATCTTTGTGTAGTTCTTTAAGAGTTCATAGGTAGGTCAAGTAGCTGTTACCTGTTCTCTGATCCTGTATTTGAATAGCATAATGCCTGTTACCTTTAAACCTTCAATTCAGTACAGCACTTGCAGCAGGTGGGTTTTAAAAATTAACAACTGTCATGTTCTGATCAGGCTGTTAAATAGACATCTTAATAAAGTTTAAATTGGAAGTCGGATTAGTAGCAACCTTGCTCAGGTGCTCAGGCCTCGGAATAAAGGTGTACTGTTCTCTACAAAAAGGGCACAGAAATATACAGTGTCACTTAAAATGCGTAGAGGTGTATGCTAACCTTTTTGCACTGATTCTTTGAGGGAAACTGTGGTAGCTTTAAAACCATATCTTACCTGCTTACTGTTTGATCTTCTCTTTCTCAGGGTGAACAGAATAGCTTCAGACCTCTCCAGGCTCTATAATTGACAGCAAGTGAGGTTCCTGTTTAATGGATTGTTTAGAGCTTAATTTTCCCCCTGTTCTTCAGGGAATTGGTGTCTCTGAGAAAATAATTGCATGCTTGATGAGGACAGAAACTTTATTGCAGTGGTCCAACAACCTGAATACAATTGTGACACTATACAAGAAACTTCAAGCAAATGGCCCATTCAGAAACCTTACGTAACCGTGGCAGGTTTGAGTTTCCAGCAGATTTGAGTTTGCCTTTTTTGATTATCATCTGATGTGAGAGGAGGCTTAGAGTTTCAAGTTCACAATAAACCTATTCAGAGCGACTCTTTTATTAGCTTGAACAGTATCTCCAGAGTTCTCTTCATCTTTGGCTTTACTAAAAGAAACTATTTAAGCTTAACCAACAAGCAGGGATCCTGGAATTATAAGCAGAGTATCATTTTGTTTTGATAAGACCGTCTATTACTTTGGGCTCTATCTGGAGTTCTTAAATGACCCTGTTTATCTCTTCTGCATCATGGAACTTCTAGTACTGTTCCATGCAACTTGCTTATTTTTTAAGACCTCAAATTACTTTTAACCCATTTACTGGGTTAAAAACTCTGGCCTTGGGTATTCTTGCCACGGAGTCTGTCTGAAGCTGCCAGGTATTAAATGTAAATTTTGGATTATATTAAATGTATAGCCTATTTCACTGTCCTTACATGAGTTCAGCGTAACAGAAGGACAGAATGAAGTACTGACAGGTGGGAGAAGGGTTGAGTTGGAAAAGAACAGGTATTTTCTGTGTGCTTTAAGGGGAAAGCTGAGGTTTTGCAAGTTTGGGATCCTGTTTGAATATATATTTTTTTAAAACCTTTCAAAAAAATCCGGAAAACAAGCTGGCTTTGTCCCTCTGTTTTCTTCTCATAAACTGAAGCCTTTCCTGTTGATTGTGGGATCCACTGTAGTTATTCTCCCATGTCCTCGTTGCTCCCAGCCTGATGGACTTCTGCATGCTCTTCTTCAAGCAACTCCTGGAGATAATTTTGAAATTCTAGTGGTTGTAGATTGTGGCTCTTGGCTCATAAGTATTAAATTTTTACACAATACTGCAGAGCTGAGCATGCTCAGTAGCTTTGGGAGAAATTCTGATGGCGTGCATTGTACTTCAGAAACCTTTCTCAGAGTTGACGGGAATGAAGATATTTAAGCTTCTTAAGTGTGGGGGTCACTGAGAGATGTTTCAGTGCAGGTTCCAGAACTGTACCTTGGAATCTCCTGCCTTAGTTCTGGAGATTTTAAGTTTGTCTTCTTTTGAGGTACACATTTCCATCTTGTCTGAGAGATAGTGCTGACTTCTGTCATGTGAGATTCTCCTAAAAAAAAAATGAGGACCAGGTCTTAATCCTCCACGCTCTGTTATCTCTGTGCAGGAGTAAAAGTCTGTATTTTATAGAAAGCAGAATAATTTGGTTTGTGTTAAATCTCTTATGGTGTTTGGCGGTCCATCTTCTGCTGTAGAGAAGCTTTTAAGCTTTCCATTTCTTTATATGTGGGAAGGTATTTTTGTGTTATGGCTCACTGCTATATCTAGGCTGATTAAAACAGATGGTTTGTGCTGAGTTCCTACGTGTCTAGGTGGGATCAGTGAAGTCTGAAATATATGATTAAATACTATTGAACTAGAAACTTCTAATACTGATTTTTGTTTTTATTCTAGGAATGTACTCCGGAGAACCTGGAGCTGAAAAAGAAGATTTTTGGTCAGTTAGATCTTATTGTTGGTGACAATGTTATCTTGAGCAGCTCGACTTCTTGTCTCTTACCCAGCAAATTGTTCACTGGCCTTAAGCATGTTAAGCAGTGTATTGTGTCACATCCCGTAAGTATGATGGCATATTTTGTTTTTGTAGTAGTAGTACAGGTTTTAACTAAACTGCATCCCATTCTCTTCCCTGCAGACTGGGAGATATAGAAGGATATTTGGAATGGTTGTGGGCTGTTGGTAGTGTGCAGGGGCCTGGCTTTTCTGAAAAGCTTGTTTCACAGAATCACCATGGTTGGAAGGGACCTCTGAGTTCATCGAGTCCAACCTTTAAAAAAAAAAAAAAAAAAAAAAAACACAACAAAAAGAAAAAAACAACAACAGAAAAACCCACAAAATGCAACGCCCCACCACATCACACCCACCCACAAACCAATAATCTCAGGCACTAGAGCATGCCCTGAAGAGCCACATCTACACGTTTCTTAAATACCTCCAGGGATGGCGACTCCACCACCTCCCTGGGCAGGCTGTCCCAGTGCCTGACCACCCTCTCAGTAAAGTAATTCTTCCTAATATCTAATCTAAACCTCCCTTGCTGCAACTTCAGACTATTTCCTCTGGTCCTGTCATTATTCCCTTGGGAGAAGAGGCCAACCCCACCTCTCTGCAACCTCTGTTTGGGTAGTTGTAGAGGGCAATGAGGTCTCCCCTCAGCCTCCTCTTCCCCAAACTAAACATGCTCAGTTCCCTCAGCCTCTCCTCGTATGACTTGTTCTCTAGACCCCTCACCAGCTTGGTGGCTCTCCTGGTCAATCTGTGAGCAGCAGCATCTACTAAATTGAGAGGATGTATGCATGTTTGATACTGTTGGCTCAAGATAAGCTGTGTAAGCTGTTGTGCTCATACTGTGTTACTCAAACTGATGGTTCTCAAAGTGTAGGAGTTTTGAGTTTTGAAGACAAACCTATAAAATTATCTACTTTCATCTTATGGCATCATTAGTCTTTTCTAGTATCCTTTTTTCAGCTGCTGTTGGGTGACACTAAGGATCCAAACAGTGAGCTGCATGTGCTTATCAGGTAATGTCAATAAAAGATGGAAGGTTTTGAGTCTGGTTTCTTCAGTTCTGATGCAGAAGCAGTATACCCCAAGAGGAACAGCAGGAGGATGAAATGGAACAAATTGTACTTGGAGCTGAATTTGCATGTTTTGTGACCATCCGGGACAGGGCAGTGATGCAGAAGTGGCATGACTAGAGGTGGCAGCAGAACCTCAAAATGCTGAAGGGCACCTGTGAGCCTCTTTGGGGCTGCCAGACAGAGGGTTATCACATTTCTCCTCAGTATGGAAGAGTGTTTTGACATGATCACTGGGATTCTTACTGCTTTTGTTTTCCATTACTCAGTAGCTAATGAAGTTGTTAGCCTATTGTTAACCTGGTCTTTGACAGATTAGTTAGGAGGACTGTTGTTAACGAAGGTTTGCAGTATTCTGGAGAAAGGTCTGCAGTTTGGTAACTACATGTTATTTGTCCAGGGCATCACTTGCGGTATAGAGTAAATGTCAGTTCCCTGGGCGTGCTCAAGAGTGGCAGTATGAACACGAGAATACAGCACTACTTTACTGTAATGTCTCTACAGCTACCTGTAGTCTGATGCTGCAGTGTCAAAGCATTTGGCAACATCCCTCTGCCACCACCATTGTGCCTTGGGGTGATTGGAAAACGAAAGGAACAAAAAGACTGGTTTCTTTCTTTATAATTAGTTTTCATCCCCTTTTAGGTTATTTAAAAAAAAAAAAAAAGTCAAACTTCAAACCTGTGTCTATGTTCAACTTTTCTCCAGTCTAAAATTCAGTAGTTCCTTATCTCCTGTTCCTAGGGTTGTGACTTCCTGTAGTGCTAGACAAGAGATAATGTCTCTTCTAGACTTCTGTATTAACTAACTATAGCTATGATGTTTTTTTAACCAATTCCTAGGCTTCTGCCTACTCCCTGACTGTCAGTCTTTGCATTAGTCTTGCTTTACTGTTTTCCCAAGTTGGCCTGTACCTGTTGACTCTTTAGTCTGAGCTGCAGTCTTTATAGGAGCCACTTTTGAAACCAGGTTTTATCAGATCTGGAAAGGTAGCTAGTCCCTGCGTAAACATTTTCTAGGTTGCTGTTGTAAGGATTTTCCAAAAGCATTTTCCAAAGCAAATACACTGGAGTGCCGTAAAATGTCTAATTGTTCTGAAATGGCTTTGCAGTCCAACTGAGACTATTTTCTTAGTAATCTCAGCTTCACTCAAAGGGGAGTGTACTGGAGAAGCTGTGAGCCACTGTAGTCTTCCAGGGACATTTCTGCATCAGAAAACATGCTTGCTTTGTTGGCTTCTGGTGTTTTGGTTTTTTTTAACCGTGGCCTTACTAACATCTTGAACACAACAGTAGGACATGGGGAGTGGTGGCTGCAGGAAGCAAGGAGCTCTGGAAGATGCTGCAAAACCAAAAAGTTTTGACATACCAGAAAAATTAGAAACTAAAGTTGTAAATCCTCTGGCAGAGGTGAGTGTATTGAGGAGAAATGAAATGAAATGCCCAAAGGGCAAAAGGAGCTCATCTCTTTGCCTAACGTAGCAATGGGTTCAGTAATTAGGAAAAAGAAATCCCATAGCACAGCTGTATGATAGAAATACACGCAATATATGTACGTACAGCTGTTCTCTGCAAGTAGTTTCAGGCAGCGTATTTGTGGAGGTCTTCTGCAGAGCAGTTCATTTTTCATGACCTTCTAGGTCACACAGCTAGAAATAATGAGACAGAGACTGTGTGCAGTTGAGTGAAATTCCTTGCTTTACAGGAAACCATGTAATCACCTTAAAAATGTAATTTTAACTCCACTACTCCTGTTGGAAGTTGTTTATGTCTTCTAATTTTTGTTCCAATCTTACAGTTAGTGTAAGGGAAGCTCTTCTGCTCCCCAAAGAAGGGCTTTGCATTCCCCCTTCTCATTTTTAGAAACCTCCCCCACCCCCAGTTTCATCCACATTTTGCCACTTTTACTTTTTACCAACATCTATTATCTCACTCCTAAAAAATTGCCTTGCTGCATCTCTTCAATGTGCTCATGAACACACCCGTGTGCTGCCTGTGCCAAGTTCATGAAATAGAATTTTTCAATAAGATGACTGTCAACACTAACCTTGGAAGAAATTTATAATAGCCTTAGTCTCTCTCAACAATTAACTTGTCGTCTTCCTGATCGAAACCTGTGATATACTTAAGGGTTAGAAAAGGCTTAAGAGAACTTATTGGTGCTGCAGGGGTTTGGATCTTGGCGTCCATCACGGTGTTCTCAGCGTTGGTAGTGGCACTAACAAAGAGACTGATGTGAGGAAGGTGATACTGGAACTCGAGGCACTTTAAAGGGGATGAAGTAAGTGCATTACATCAGTAGTCAGAGCAGACATAGCCTACAACAACAGGTTATCTTGGTCAGACCTTACAGTAAAAGGAACCATGTAAGTACAGGAAAGAAAGAATATACGGCGAGGAGGAAAGACTGCTTGCCTGTTGCTGCACGACTAAATCCTGTACTTATATTTACATGAGCACAGTTAAGAGTGGTGGACTGTAAAGGAGGATGGTGGAAGAATCAGTACTTAATTACCATCCTTTAAATGTCAGTGTTATATCTGGTAGTAATTTATGATATTTTAGCTCCTTCTGTTGCCTGGAAACTAGATGGATAGTTGAGTTTAACACCTTAGGAATATGGCTGAAGGACTGCTGCTTTCAGAAAGGGCATGCAGGCAGTGTTACTGCCTGTAACACTATGACCTGAAGAACTTTTAGCTGTTTCTAGGATGTTCTTTAGAATTTTTTGTTTATTACTTCAAAAATACATTGCACGAAGGTCTTAACTTGATGAGAAATTACATTTGGAAAGAGTCAGGGAGAGCTTTTTTTTTTTTTTTAAAGTAAGTACAGTGTTTGAAGGTAACCTGTTCTGCAACTTTTTTCAAAGTATGTTTTATGTGATATCTGTTACTGTGTTTAGCATATATTTACAGGCTTGGGCCAGTAGCAGCTTATCTATTAAGTGTTGCATCTTACAGGTGGTGTTTAGCAATGATTTTGATACAAAGTTCTTGAATATCTGAAAGGAAATGCCTTGCTTCATTTGGAGAGACAGGTGGTGGCCATGGGTGTTACAACAACAAACAGCCTGAATATTGAGAAAACATTGGTTACTCCAGTCAGGATAAAATCTTCTAGTGATGTGTCCCAAAGTACCGTTTGAGTGCTGTCATCTTTAGTGTCAGTCCATGAACTTTGCTGGGGTTAAACAGAGCTAAATTTAATGCAAGATTATATTTTTTTTATTTGAATTAATACACTAGCTTTTATTGAATTGGTGAAGTCTTTCAGGGTCTGAAGATCAGGCTTACTGTGTTCCCTGGAAAATATCCACGCTAGTAATAACCTATAAAGATGCTTTATATTAGCTTATTCTGTTAATCTGTTGATAGTTGACATTCTTCTGTTGTGTTTCTTTTTGAGGTAAATCCACCTTACTTTGTGCCATTAGTTGAAATTGTTCCTCATCCAGAAACAGATCCTTCTACTACAGAGAGAACATATGCCCTGATGAAGAAGATTGGTCAATCTCCTGTCAAACTAAACAGAGAAATTGAAGGGTTTGTTCTGAATCGGCTCCAGTATGCAGTGATAAGTGAAGCCTGGAGACTTGTGGGTGTATGTATTTTGTTTGGTTTTTTTTCCAATTTCTACAGACATGCACACACTGCTGGTTTTATAGATGTGACAAGTGAGATTGTGTATTTAAATTTCCTATAAATTTGTGTTGTCTGTATTAAATTGTCCCTTATGAATGTGAAATACTGTTTTTAACTTACACGTTAGTATATAAGAAATTATGTTAGTTATAAATGCCAAAGTCTGAGAAAAACAAAGTGGTGTGATCATAACAACTGTCCATTATCCTGCTTTCTTTTCAGAGTACTGTCACTTTCAGGACAATCAACAACCTTAAAAGCATAGAAATCAAAATATTGATTTTTCTTTTCTCTTGGTTGTCTCATAATTTCCTGTTATTTTGTGAATGTTGCTGGCCTATTGTACAGTGGTTATGAAAATAATATTTTAAATAGCTTTCTCTTTGGCCTTTCAGGACTTCCACTCATAGGTTCAACAGTTATTTGATACTTGTAGTTAAAGACAGATTTCTCCTCCTTATGCCCATTCAGACTTCTAGCTGAGAATCATTTGTTTGTGCCCCTTCAGCTTTTCCCACAGTTACCTGTTCTTTGCTGCAAAGACTGATCTTTCATCAGGAAGAGCTGAATTACGAGTCTCTTGCTATTCTGTTGAGAAGAGATTCAATTGAGCTTGGGTAGGGCTTACTTCTTTGTCATGGAGAGTGTTTCGATTTTTCAAGCTGTTTAAAACAACCATGTACACAAATATAGGCAAGGATCTTAACATTAAGGTAATATTAACATACTGCAAACGAAGCAACTCTTTTTCCAAAGCGGTATCTAAACGTAGTGGCTGAAGTGATTTTTTCCTTACTTCTAGTTAGCGTCTTTGAGCAGCCCAATGCAACAACATAAAGGAGGTGGCAAATAATTGTAAGCAAAGCAGTGCTGTTAGGAAGTACTGCTTCCCGTATGAATGGGTTCCGGGAACATTTAGACACAGTCATGCTAGAGGAAAACCATGCAGAAGCAAACTCCAGCTGTGGAAGTCTCAAAGCCTAGACTGCTGGGAGCTGAGGCTGTGCCTATCAGTGAAAGTACCGCTCTGCATATGGTCCTTGGTTATGGAAAGAGTATAAGAACACTTCATGGGTTACTATTGGAAAAGAGGTATGATTTGAGGTGAACCTTTAGTGTGAACCTGTATGGATGCTTTTTGTGTGTGTGGTGGTACGTGAATAGTAACAATATAGTGCTTGAAGCATTGACAGATAATGAAAGTTGCTTTTGTTGTGTATTGTCAAAGTTTCCAAGTTTTCTGTTTTTGCATAATTTTATCACATTTCAGGCAAATACACTTCTGAACTGTAACAACTTTGGCTGTATTTTCATTCCAAAAGCCTGGACAAAATAGAGCTATCAAAGTTGTATAATTCCAGCTGTGTAACTTCAGGCTACACACTGCCTTTGATGGGAGCAGAATCACTGTAGAGAAGGCAAGAGCTGCAGGCCTGGGGCAGTTTCTCTATTTCTACTGTTGTGCTGCCAACTATAGTTGTTTTTATTGCAAGTCATGTTCTTTTGGTGTTTCCACTTTCAAAGTGGGGAAAAGTACTTCTTGCTTCTTGTTGATAGGTCAATTTTCAGTCCTTAGTGTTGAAAACATCAGCCTTCCCAACTCTTAATCTTTGAGAGGCTCCTGAAAATCAAGTCTCACTCACATTGATGCCTTCTGGTAACAAATGTTTTCCTTACCTTAAGAAGCACTGGGGGTGGAAGATGAACTACAAATACTAGCAAGAGGGACAATTAATAAAGCATTCTTGTCCAAAATGTCCATCCTATTAATCCTTCTGTGGTTAGACCCGTAAATTGAAGTATTGGATGAAAGAACACAAGTCAGCTTGGATGCAGAACAGACACTCTTGTTAAATTACTTAAGAACACTGGTATTTTGATGCTAATAATGGTATATTGCTTTTGACTATTGTAAAAGAATAATGAGACAGAACCATAAAATAATTTCAAGCTTACTTGTTTTATTAGTGGTTGTAAAGGTCTGAACAAGTCTATTTGTATGCCTACATGTAGTTGTGTCATAAACCAATCAATGCTCCTTTTTCTGTTACAAGTTTTCTTTAATTTCAACATGGTGAGTGCTGCATTGTTATTTGAGGACTGTTGTACTGCACTGCAGCGTATCAGTTCTTTGCCACATAATGAGGACATAAGTATTCCAGATATAAATGCTGTGCGTGAACCAGGAGAGAAACATAGCAGCAGTCTCCCAGTGTTTTGAAGGAACTTGAAATGATCTTAAATCAACCCCTTTTATGTAAAGAAGTATCTGTTTTTTTGAGGATTTTGCTGAGATGCAGGCTTGAAACTTCCCATCTGCATCCTCACCTCAAAAATATTTATAGCAATGGCAGGGGAGTGATCTTATATATGTGCACATAGACTTTTATCAAAGTCATTCCAGATATAAATGCTGTGCGTGAACCAGGAGAGAAACATAGCAGCAGTCTCCCAGTGTTTTGAAGGAACTTGAAATGATCTTAAATCAACCCCTTTTATGTAAAGAAGTATCTGTTTTTTTGAGGATTTTGCTGAGATGCAGGCTTGAAACTTCCCATCTGCATCCTCACCTCAAAAATATTTATAGCAATGGCAGGGGAGTGATCTTATATATGTGCACATAGACTTTTATCAAAGTCCCAAATTTATGTACCTCTCCCTCCTCACATATGTGCACATAGACTTTTATCAAAGTCTGAGTTCAGACACCTTTGCATGGACCACAGAATCACATGAGGTTGGAGGAGACCTCTGGAGATCTTCTAGTCCAACCCCCCTGCCAAAGCAGGTCCACCTAGAGCAGGTTGCACAGGAACTTGTCCAGGTGGGTTTTGAATGTCTCCAGAGGAGACATTTGAGGAGTCTCAAAAGGAGACTCCACTACCTCCCTGGGCAGCCTGTTCCCGTGCTTTGCCACCCTCAAAGTGAAGAAGTTTTTCCTCATGTTTAGGTGGAACTTCTTATATTCAAGTTTGTGCCCATTTCCTCTTGTCTTATCCCTGGGCAGCACTGGCCCCATCCTCTTGACCAAAACAGGCTCTTTTTCTTTTTTTTTTCTTTTTCTGTTTTGGTGTTTTTGTGGTGTCTTTCTGTTTGAGGTTGGTTTTGGTTTTGTTTTTTGTTTTTTCCAGTCAGTTGAGCTTATTTCAATCAAGAAACTAGTGGAAACTTCTCCGATAGAAGTATTTATGTACTGTTAAAAAAGGCATTGGTGGTAGGACAGACACACAGGTACAGCTGTACTAACAACATTTATCTGGACAACTTTATCACAAATAGACTGAGCAGCTTGCAGGATGTGTTTTAGTTCCTAAAAGTCACTCAGCAGCTGACAACCTGCCAGTCTCTCTCTTTTCTTTAGTAGTGCTGTGTTGGGAAGTGTGATGGGCAAGGCAGGGGACAAGGATCATATGATGGGAGGAGGGCTCTGCTATAGAACATGGGGCTGTCTAGAACGCAATGTGGTCAATATTGGTGAAAAATTTGGTGAAATATTTTGGTGAAATATTTTTCACCAAATATTTTTCAAAACATCACCTGGAATTTACAAGAAGGTCCTGAAATACAGCGGCAGAGATAATGTGGAGAACATGGCAGTTTTTCAGCCCTGATCCAATTTAGGAGTTTCAGCTGCCTTTAAGAACCTTTTAAAACTGATGGTGGCATGAGAAGTGTCTGAAGAGTCTGCTTTTTCCACTGTGCAAGCTTTTGATATTGTTTTAATGTAGTTTTTTCTTGAAAAGTGTTGTGTGGTTTTTTTTTTTTAAGGTTATAGTCATTGTAAAAGACAGGAAGGATGTAGTCCTGCCATCTTTGTTAAACTTTCAGAAAAGAAACAGTCATGGTTTGGCTGTGTGGCCATTTTAGTTTTTCACAGCAATCAGGTGCATTGGCTTCAGTCCCAAATTTATGTACCTCTCCCTCCTCAGGTGACTATCTTGGCAGTCCCTAAATGCTGGCAAGACTTTTTTAATTCCAAATTCCTTATTAATCATAATTGTATTATAGTGTTATCCAGAGGACCTTTCCAAAAGATCAAAGATAAGGTAGAAGGTTAAATATCTAGTTACAGTGCCCCATAAAAGGGGCATATCATAAAAGGAAGTTTAAAGGGTCAGGGAGACAGCGTTGATACTAAGTGTTTGTTACAGGGTGAGGTGGGTGAGGGTGCCATGGAAGAAGGAGGATAAAGGCCAGCAAAGTTGAGCAGGTGTGAAGCGTGTAGGACAACAAGTTTCTCAAACATGATGAAATGGAAAGAGATGGAGTTGGTAGAGGGATCTAGGAGAAAAGTCATATGCTCAAAATGACAGGACTGGAAAAAGATCTCATCAGGGTGTGGATGGAAGGGACTTGATTGAAGTGATAATGAAGAGAAGGGTGTAACAGGTGCTGCTGAGACAGAATGCATATATTAGTGACAATCAGAAAAAAAAATACTGGCTTTGGGAGATACAGAGGATGAAGTGGGAAATTTGGAGACAGAAAGTATGTGGTCCAGATGAGAGTGAAGTCCAAAATAACTTTCTAGGCAGACTGGAGTGAGTAGGAGAACATGTTGAATTGATAGTATGAGAAAAAGTGAGATTGTTGGGTTATTTTTTTACCATGTCACATTTAATAGGATTACAGACCAATTTCGAGATAGAAGTAGTGATGTGGGTGTGACTCAGATATAAAGACGGTTGATTAAAACCAAGTATGTTGGCTCAGGGCCTAAAGGTGGAAACTGCAGAACCGCCTCAGGTTTTTGGAAGGGAGAAAAGGGTCCCTGCATAGCAAGAAGTACTAATGAAATACCAAAGAAGCATTGGGACAATACTGTGGCATCACAGGAGATTAAAATCTCCAGGAAGATGAGATTGTGGCATATAAATTGTGTAATAAGAAGTGTGGGGGATTCTGAGCTTGTCTAGATCTTGAAGATTGACTGGCCATTGGGGTCACTGAGGATTTTGGTGAAATTTATTTTACATTAAGATCTTAATTCTGTAGCTATGAAAGCTTCTAGTGAACTCTAACACACTTCCTCTTCCCTCTGACAAGTGCTTATGGGGAAGGCCTACAGGAAGGTTACCCAGGATGAAAAAGATGCAAATCCCCTTGGGAAGATTGTTTCACACCTAGACTTAATGAAACTGGATTGGAACTCTTTCTTGTTTACTTGTTAGCATAAACAGCAATACTCTTGGAAGACACCTTGCTGACCTTGCACCCACCCTGCTGAATCATTCCACCAACTTACGATCTCCTTAACATAAGTGGGAGTAGGGTTGTTCCCTAGGGGAGGGATGTCTTAACTTGTTTCTCATTTATTCGTTTTTAATTTCTGAAGAGAAAGTAAAAGGTGTTTATGTAAGAGGGTCTATGTGACAAGGTTAAACTGAGCTCACATGTATAGAATAAAATATCCTTCAACTGGAGGAATCTGTCATGTTTTCCTCTGGTAGCAGCAACGTATTTAAATAAATATACAGCATAAAATTATATATATGCAGCATAAAATTGCAGCTATAGTCAAAAGGCAAAGAGCAAAGCACTCATCTCATGATTGAGAGGGCACCTGGTCTTCAAATGTTAGTACCAAAGCTGAGGATTGTGGTAACAAAAGAAATAAATTAGTTTTGAATTTGAAAATTAATTTGCAATGATTCTGAAGTGTTTCAAGAGCCTGTTAACTCTTTAACGTTATGTTCACAGCTTTGAACCACAGTGGCAGTTAAAATGCATCTCTGGAACTTGTGGTTAATCTTTTGTCCGCAAATCCATGTCAACCAGGAAAAAAAAAAAGCATAGCTTTACCAGCATAACTCATTGTTTGGATGAAGCACTCCCAACAGAAGAGTGCTTTTGTTGACTTTGCTGATGTCATTCAGAGAAGTTGTGTTGCCATGTCAGGGGAAAAAAACTTTCACAGAACGTGTGGTGCCTGTGTTAGTTAAACTGATGCAGGTCTGTAATCTGAACGCTGTCTGAGGCTTTCGTTTAGTCCTGTCTTTATGCAGACCTTCCTGTCTGGCTCTAGATTAGTTACTTTACCATGCCTATGCTTTACCTTTATGTTGAAGAAAATAATGCTTCCGTATCCCTGCCATTTTATTTCTAATTAAATTGTTACCAGAACTGCATGTTCCATATATGGTGGATAGATCTTAATAATTACGTTGTTGTTTCCTTTTCAAGATAGAGTTCAAAAGCCACTTGCAACAAGGATTCAGCCAGACTTGCTTTTGTTAGGAGCAATACCTACTAACAGATTGAGACTTGAAGTTGAATCTAATAGAAGGCTCTATTTAAGCCTGAGATGATAAGACTTGATGTCTGTAGCCAGCTGTAGAAGTTATGTTGGTCTTTGGATTATAACTTACTTTCAAAGTAAGAGTAGATCATAAAATCATTCAGGTTGGAAAAGACCCTTGGGATTATCAAGTCCGACCATCAGCCCTACTCTGCGGAGTTCTCCCCTACACCATATCCCCCAACACCACATCTAAACGACTCTTAAACACATTCAGGGATGGTGACTCAACCACCTCCCTGGGCAGCCTATTCCACGGGCTGACCATTCTTTCTGTGAAGAATTTTTTCCTAAGGTCCAGTCTAAACCTACCCTGTTGCAGCCTGAAGGTTCTCCCTCTTGTTCTATCGCTAGTTACCTGTGAGAAGAGACCAGCACCATCCTCTCTACAAGTAGTTGTAGAGAGTGATGAGGTCTCCCCTCAGCCTCCTCTTCCTCAAACTAAACAGTCCTATCTCCTTCAATTACTCTTCATAAGATTTATTCTCCAGGCCCTTCACCAGCTTCATTGCCCTCCTCTGCACTCGCTCCAGCACCTCGATATCTCTCTTGTATTGAGGTTGATGAACACAAGAAGACCCTGTGGGTGGGATTCAGCTCAGTTAAAGTGGGATTTCTACAATATAAGCATTGACATCCAAGTTTCTTATTCATCTTTCATTTGATGAGGAGAATTAGGCCCTTTTAGGGGACAACTCATCTTACCTATTCTAGATGTCTGCTTTAGGACACTGATTGCCTTTTTCTCCCTAGTGATTATAAAGAGAGTCTAGATGTCTAGCTCAGATGTCAGTGTCTAGAACAGGTCAGGAGAGCTGCTCTGCATGCCTGTAACTCTACCTGATCACTGTGATACTAAGGAGCATTCAAACAGGGCCCTGCGAGGTGGAAATTTAACAGAAAAAGATGTGTCTTTGGCCAAGCAGATGAGTATACCTGCTTGTATTCTGCAGCTCAGAGGGGCTTGTGAAAAAAGAGGTGCACTGATTGAGGAAGGCCCTTCAAGGTAGGGTGAGAAGACAAATTAGAAGCAGTTCAGCATGTCTTTCACCTTCTTAACCAGAAGGAAATGGTTTTATGTTTCTGGGAATAAAGACAACAAGGTTTTTGAAACCAAGCTTTATCTGATGGAAGTGGTTAGAACAGGTCTTAGTTAATTCCTATCATTCTAGTAGGTGAAAAACAAGCTCATATAATAAATATTATTCTTCTAGTGTAAATCTGTTAAGATAGTGAACTGTAACTTTTTTTTTTTTTTTTTACAAGCCTTCCCATGCTTGCCCTAACCTGATGGGGGTGTTGGCTTTCTTGTGCTACCATGAGGGTGGAACAGAAGCGCTCAACTTTTTAACAGCAGAAAAGCTTCATTTTTGCATGCTCTGTATCCTCCCAGCTCTGAGATGTGAGGCTGGCAGTGAACTTGAGAACCTGGGCAGGTTGAGGCTGGGTAGGTTGAATGTTCAGTGAATTTTGTGGGAGTGGCAGCTGCATTGCCTACGTGTTTGGTCCTGGCCCTTTTTTGCAGGTGGCATCAGGAATAGTACCCGCTGGTGCACCCCTGTTCCAACAGTTGTGACTCTGTCCGAAAATCCAGAACTAAGACAATATGAAGGGAGGTGTAAGATTTAGCCAAAACTCCTGCATTTAAAAGGGCTGGTGTAATGCTTGGATTTGATATAAACTCTTTTGGTCATGTGCTGTTAAGAGCGTCACATTTGCTCTGTGTTCTCTGATAATCAGTTTATAAGAAAAAAGTATATTATTTACCATAAACAGCTCTATTTCATTTTAGTACATGAATTATTGTAAGAAATAAGTATTGGGCAAACTAGCATGTACGAACAGTACATACTGTATGGAAAAAGTATTAATTTAGAAATTTAAAAATAAGATACTGTCAAAATGCATCACGGTGTATTTGAATTAGGAAGTACAGCAAGATTAGATACGTGAATTAATGTTTATACTGAATCATAGGAAAGGTTGCATAATAGATGGACATTTCTGGCAAACAGTTGTGTTTATGTTTGCAAGCTGACTGCTATTTCCAGCGTTAGTTACTTTAATTTTTTAACTATATATAAAAAGCAGGCAATTTTGCATTAAACCTAAACATTCACAAATCTTCCTGTTCTACTTTTGCTACTTAGGAAGGAGTAATATCTCCTACAGATCTAGACCTTGTGATGTCTGATGGATTGGGAATGCGATACGCGTTTATTGGACCTCTGGAAACCATGCATCTTAATGCAGAAGGTAGGTAGTTAAAATGATAAGAAATATGAAGGGAAGGCTTATGTTGCACAAGACTCTGGAAGTGTTTTATAACAAGCCAGGTTAGGATTGCTGCAACTATGACTCGTCTTTACTGTCATGATAAGAAAAGGAAAAGCTTAACTAAAACTTGAGGTTGGATGGAAGGAAATGGATATTGTCTATCGTATTGTAAGTGATCAGATGAAATTGAAATGCTAGCTCTGTACTTCCTTTTTTCCAAGGTTTGTCCCAGTGCTTTGCAAACATTGTTGTACCCATGGTTCAGGACTGTCTGAATGTCAGGAAAAGAAAGTATTGAAGAAGTTTATCTGATAATTTGATGTCAACGGAAATTCACTTTCCGTAGACGAGTGCTTCCCTCCACCCCCCACCCCCCCCAAATTTGTAACAAAGAGTCAGTGTAAATATTGCTGGTGCTAGCTTGCCTTAAGGTGGTTTAAATCCTGAGGGAAGCAGAATTGCATTTGTCCACAAAATACGGTGCTCATAAAGTTGAGTCGACAAAGCAGTCAAGTAACAGTTCAACGTCTGACTTGCATAATCAAGACAGATTTTTTTAGAGGCTTTTGGAACAGTATACACGAATCCCAGCTAAATAAAAAGTGAATTGTATACAGTGAAATAAAAATTACAAATTAGGGTTACAAAGGTTTGAATTTAACAAAACATGAAAACTTCAAGAAGTGAAGATAAACTAAATACATTTTTAGTTCTTAGTATTTTGGGTTCTGTCTTTATTCTGCTTTTATATGGTCCCTGACATGGTAGGCCCCTGCTCCATTACTGGATCTTTTAGGCAGTACTGCAATCCCTAATAATAAAATAAGAAACCAAGATCTTCAAACATCAGTGTGGAATTAGAAGTGTTCCTTTATGTCTACTTGTTGGTTAGTTACTTGGCAGAAACTTGTGTCTGCTAAGGCTGACTAAGCAATTTTGACATGAATGTGGAATTGTGGATCCTCCTCTATCAGAGTCTTTCAGCTTGTCAGTTTGGTTGTATATCAGTAAATTAAATGTCACAAAGTGTTTGCTTTTGTGCATTGTTAGTTAAACACCATCCATCCTCTGAAAGTTTCCCTTTTTGATCTATTTACATCTGGCAGTTTCCAGTTCTCTCCAGTGATTTTAGACTTATTCCATATAAACCATATACATTCTTTGCATAGAACAGATCAGATGCACACAGTAGCCTTAAGCACAGCAATCGACCTGGAGTCTTGCAGGCCGGGGTTGTCCAGTCCTGTCCCCACCACTCCACTAAGCTGCCATGTTGTCCTCTGCAGGAACTGGCCATGCACAGGGTCTTCTGTCAGTGTAACTTGTTGAACTGCCTCTACTAAAACATAAAACCAAACCAAAATGCTTGTTAATACCAAAAAAAATCGAATCCATTTTAGAGATCAAATCATACTTGTGAATCCTTTTTTTAAATCCATGTTTTAGACTCCTTAATACTAAAACAATGCATCCTTAAGATGAATAGAATCGTATAAGTCATCTGGGTTGGTTTTGATTCTCTTCCTGGAGTCCCCTTTGGCATTTGATGTTCTATCATGATCGAGCTTAGCTTCCTTCCTCCCATCAGGAAGTACATTGTTACAAAAACACTTCTGAAATTTCCCATCTCAAACCAGTTTTATGTAATATGTGTACCTGGTAGGTTGCTTATTCATGGCAGGGTTCTAGAACCCTATCCAGTTTCTGGATTTAATGCTACCTTCTATGAGGAATTTTACTATTCCAGATTACAGGAAGAAAAATTATGAAATAGATCCAAGAGACTGATAAACTGGAAGAGTAGTCTTGTGGTGGGCTTGCAAAATACAAACCCAATATATACCTGTAGAGTTATTTTAACTTTATGTAATATTCTCAATTAAAAATAACCCTAAAATAATATCATTAGTACACTGGTGGACTGGGTCACTTACACAAAAGTACCTTGTTGGCTCATTCAGTAACTTCAGTCATGACAAGTATTGCTTCATTCCCAATCTTCAGGTGTGCTGTTTCTGAGTCTAGAGCTGCTCCTGTTTACGTGTTGACAGGCTGAATCAGGCTGTTGCTCTCATCAGACACAGTTTAAATCAAAATTGCTGATGTCAGGACACACGATGGTTTATTGTCATAGTTCCGGACCAGTGCCCAGTGTTGGTTGACATAATACGGAATAGTATGGACCTCCTCTTGATTGCTCAGGACAGCCCACCCTGATGCGTTGTACTAAGAGTGTGTATTTTTTATCAGTGGAGGGAAATGGAGGCAGAGATAAGAAATCTCCTCTATCCTGTTTGTTAGCCTGTCCAGCAGCTTCACAGCAGCTGCCTTTCTTTACAGCCGTAAGATATTAATTACCCACAATCTTAAACTCGCTGTTAATTAGTGGGAAAGGATGGCGGGGATGCAGGAAACATGAGAGAAAAATAGTGTTATTTGTGGGAAACCTTGGAAGATGGAGACATCTTCCTTTTTTCTTTTTTTTTCTTTTTTTTTTTGGTAAGGGTGATGTGCTTTTTATTTGATCTTGAATAAAGAATATTATTACAATGATATTTTTTTCTGAGATCAATGTTACTTTTTTCCCTGTAAGATAAATGCATCAAGATCCATGAACTTCCTGTGTGATAATGCCAAGCTTCCCCCATGTTAGTTCTTATGTCCTTTCCTCCATATTCATAAATGGTCCTATCAAAAGCTATTGTCTAGTCTACTTTAGATTACCAGTTAATCCATGCATGGATATTAGGAATTTTGAATATATGGCAGTGAGCCACCAGCCTTGAACATTGAATAAAATGACAGTGTCAAATCACTAAAAGGAGCAGAAACAGCAACAGCACTTTGAGAACCAAATTGCAACAGACAGGAGGGAAACCGCTTTGAGGAGGGAAAAAAGCACATCCAAATTGCATATTATTATAATGTTGATTGTTGGTTTCAGTAAATAAAATTAATGTTGATTTCAGTTTCAGTCTGAGTCTGTCATCTTATGATATCATATGGCAACATTGCAACAAATGCTGTTAACTCTCTTACAAGGTACATCAACAGATTTCACTAGTGTCATTTTACCCGTTTACATATCGTAGGATTACGTTAGCAGACACAATGTCCCTCTTGCATATGTACCTGGCTCTTTGTGAATATACTGAAGATGATCCAACCTCAATAAGATTGTATCTCCTAAATCTCTTGTTTCTTGGGCTCCTGGCTCCTTTTAAGCCCTTGCAAAAAATCATCTGTAAAACCAGAGACTAGACTATCATATACTATGTTTGCAGCAGCAATTCTTCAAATGTATTTTATAATTGGCTGTCTTAGATCACTTACCTTATTAGTGGGTTATTTAGCGAGCTATAATTGGAATTTAATCTTGATCTAAATTGCTAATATTAGCAGAAGAGCTGGACAGGGGGAGGTTGAAGGATCTTTGTTGCTATTTTCTCTCTTGCATTTCTGAAAACACCATTCCATGAGCATATTCTACCTATCAGTCATTGTGGTGTTAGTACATGTTGTACAGGAGTTGTGTGAAAATTGGGGCTGATGTAAGGTCCCTGTCAGTGCAAATACACAGTAAGCTAGGAATGAGTCTTCATGGTCAAAATTGTGTTTCTTTTATTGGAAGTGGGAATGCTTGCTTGTCTGAGAAGCACCAGCCAGGTGAATTGCTTTTGGATGACAGGAGCAGAATGATTGTGCTGAATGAAAAAGGAAGAGGGAAGGAATCATAAGCCATAATTCAAAGGAAGGGAATTTTTCTAGTCTGGCTAGGGAAAATATGGCCACGCATGTTTTTTAACAATTGCTGTAGACAGGTATTCTGGCTGGTTCAAAAGCAGAGATTATTTTCATTGCTATGGCCACTGCTTTAACGCTGCCATAGAGGGAGCAAACCAAGCTTTAACCCAGTTCAGGAGCTTTTGTACCACAAGCTAGTAAGCAGGTGTGAGAATCTCTACATTATGGTAATAAAGCCTGAGAAAAGGAAGATTGCTTGTGTTTCTGTCCAACCCATGTGTTATGTTTTAGCACAGTAGAAGATCTCAACTTAACTCAGGAATGTTTGTAAAAAGGTAATACTGAGATGAAATATCACAGTGCTACATAATCATACAAAAACCTCTTCTTTCATGAACCCATCAGTTATTTCATACGTGTTTAAGCACATTCAGTTCACTTCCCAGTAGGCTGGAGAAAGCAGTTTATAGTCCTTCTAGAACTGCTGTTTGCCTCTGTGCAGCTGCAGGACTTTTCTCTATGAAGGAGTTTGCGTGCAGTAAGCAAAGGTGTGCACCAGTTCCCTTCTATGGGCTCTTAGGTGTAAAGGGGTTCCCTCCACCTTCTGAAAGGGGCACATGACTTTGCACAGGAATTCTTAATGCTTTATGGCTCAAGTGATTATAGACATGTCCTGAAGAACACGTCTTGGTGCATCCTTCTCACTTGTGCTAACAAAAGAATGTGTGTGGTCACCAAGTAGCTCAAACTGAGGAATGCATCGCAGATATGAAACTGATTTGCACAGCCAGGACAATTAACTCCAGCTCATTAAAGGGATATTCCATACCCTATGACATCATGCTCAATATATAAAGCTGGGGGAAGAAGGAGGAAAGGGGGATATTTAGGGTTACAGTGTTTTATCTTTCCAAGTAACTGTTACAGGTGAGGGAGCCCTGTTTTCCTGAAGGTGGCTGAATACCTGCCTGCTACTGGGAATCATAGAATTGTTTTGGTTGGAAGAGGCCTTTAAGATCATCAAGTCCAACCATTAACCTAGCACAGCCAAGTTGTCACTAAATGATGACCCTCAGCATCACATCTACACATCTTTTAAATACTTCCAGGGATGGTGACTCAATCACTCCCCCAGGCAGCCTATTCCAATGCTTGATAACCCTTTTGGTGAAGAAATTTTTCCTAATATCAAAGCTAACCCTCCCCTGGTGCAACTTGAGGCCATTTCCTCTTGTCCTATGGCCTGTTCCTTGGAAGAAGAGACCATTGCCCACCTTGCTACAACCTCCTTTCAGGCAGTTGTGGAGAGCGATGTCTCTCCTCAGCCTCCTTTTCTCCAGGCTAAACAACCAGTTCCTTCAGCCGATCCTCATAAGACTTGTGCTCCAGACCCTTCACCAGCTTCATTGCCCTTCTCTGGACATGTTCCAGCTCCTCAGTGTAGTGAGGGGCCAAAAACTGAACACAGTCCTCAAGGTGTGGCCTCACCAGTGCGGAGTACAGGGGGCAATCAGTTCCCTAGTCCTGCTGGCCATGCCATTCCTGATGCAAGCAGTGAATTAATTTCTTGTTTTGCTTTTCTTGCATGCATGGCTTTTGCTCTACCCATTAAACTGCCTTTATCTCAACCCACAAGTTTTTCCTCACTTTTGCTCTTCTGATTCTCTCCCCCATTGCGACTGGGGGGAGTGAGCAAGCGGCTGTGTGGTTCTAGCTGCTGGCTGGGGTTGAGCCATGATACTGACCTAACAAAAGAAGTAGTTCATATTAACTCAGTTTAATTCCTTGATCCAGCTCACAGCAGTCCTGCACAAATATTTATGCATTGCTGTTGAGATGGTAATACATGGATAGTGAGAATAAAACTTTTTTTGGTGTTACTGCTGTCTTAGGGTAGTTGAAAGTATTCATTCTACTACAGTCTAAGTGAATTCATGTGGGAATTACTGTAGAGTAGCAAGTGTCCTGTGGATTCACACCCTAACTAAAAACATGTATCTGTGTTCAGACACACCCTTGATGAAGACAGGATTACATTTAGAAAGTTTTCCTTGGAACTGTAATATCTAGAAATGTAATCCCTCTATCAGCAAAATAAAGAGTTTGGGACTTTTTTTTCTCTTTGAGAATAACCTAACCGTGACAAATTCCTCCATGATGTTCCTGACATATGCCCCTTCTTTTCTGTTCTCATCCATACTTATCTTCAGTCTTACGAAGTGCAGCTTCTTCTTAGATTTTACCTGCTAAAATCAACCCCACCCCAATCTTTTCAAATTGTTGACGCTATTACATCAGTGGCTTGACCATCTCACCTACTCTTTGAGTCATTACAGTATCTTATTATGCTCCTCATAGGTTAATGCTCGGTATTGTGAGGCACCCTCTGTCTTTGGCATGTTCCCTGTCCGTGCTAGTAACACTTGCTCCTGTCTCTTGTTTTCTCTCACAAATACCTTGATGCCTTCCTTGTTTTGCCCCATGTGTAGTGTCCTTGCCAGACTGGTTTACCAAGTTTGCTTGCTTGTATCTTTCAGCCCTCATGCCTGTTGTCTTTCTTATGAAGAGGAAGGAACCAGACTTAGCATACAAGAAGCTAAGATACTTGAAAACACTTACATGCTATAATGCATGAACATTACTACGTTTTATACTGTTATGCCTATGTTTTATACAGTTATGTTTTCCCTTCTTTTTTCCTACTGCTCCTCTCACCTTTATGTTTATGAACCTCACTTGTGAAGAGGTCTTCTCAGGGCAGTGAAGCATTTTGTGCATGCTTCTAAGCTAAATATCTGTGCTTAGTTCCTTTTCCTTCAGCAATGTCCTGTTCATGTTGATGATGCAACCAGAGGCATTTCACTGATACCACATTTGCACCACACCAGTGCAAGTCCTTCAGGAAGGGACCTGTAAACACAAAGTGTAGTTATGTGAATAAATTCTTTTGTTCATTAGGTATTTTGGGAACTGCCTGGATTCACATTGATGCTAAATAAGCAGCAGCTTATTCTTCCTGTGTTGGTATGATAAAGAGCCTGGCATTTCTTAGATACATATGGGCAGCAGAAGACCCTTGAATCAATGCCCTCCTATAGCTTGTGATAACATGTTCCTGTAACTGTGCTGTACAAGTCAGAAGTGCTGTGTGGGTTTGGGACTTCCAAGGAATATATAGAATATTCCCCTTTTCATCTTTATAATCCTGTATCCACTACTTCCTTGGAACATTTTGTTACTCATTCCTCATCGTCCACTTTCTGCCATAGTTGTAAACATGTGGTGGAAGGAAGATTCAGGGAACTCCTATCTTCCCTGGAGGTATTTTTGTTCTGTGTTCATGGTTCTCTGGTGCCTGCTGCAACATCTGCTTTCTCCCACAGCCCCTTCCCTCCAAGACTGATGAGGTGTGTGGGCAAGGAAGATGGAGGTTTAGACAGGGAGCCAACAAACCACATACACAAGAAGAAACTATCGTAATTCCTGTGCTGCAAGTTGGTACCCCTCTTTCTCTGTCCCAGATGCATCTTGCGTCATTCTTTTTCTCCAGTGGGAGATAGTGGGGCACAGTGTGGGCACAGCAACTGGGTACAAGGAGGGATGTTGGTTGTTTTTAACATGTTCTTCCTGTTCCTCCAGCTCCCAGGTGCTGCCCTGTCTCGCACTGTTTACAGATGCTAACTCTTCCAGCTTAAGCTGCTCCCTGGGCAGTATCAACAAGGATTAAAGTTAGAGGGATTATCTTGTATTGGTTTTCCATCTTCTTGTCCCTGTGCTCCAGCCAAGTGCTCTTCTCATCCACCTTTGCAATAGCCCTGACCTTTGAACCAAAGGATTCCTCTAAGTCTAAAGGCCTGAAGTCAAATATTTGCCAGTTTTGAGTTAGCAGTTGAAAAGCAAAGTGATTTTTCCAGCAATATTCCCCATTGCTCAAGTGCCTTCTTGAAGCTGGTAACATAGGGTTGATCTTGATTACTTAAACCAAGTTAAAGATTGCACTAGTCTCCACTGACATGTCACACTGGGAGTGCTGTCTTGCAATATCTGTTTTGAAATTATTAATTTTTAAATCTTCGAGCGAGACCATGTATATATTCTAACTTTTGGTGTATTTCCTTCACTTGAGACTCAAAAGGTTTTGCATGTCCAAAAAAGCCTGGTTGGCAGGCAGCTTACATCCCTGCATGTTGCTGTTTCACCCACACTGCTGGGATCACCTATACTAATGCTGCTGCTCTTCTCTAGACCCGTAACTTTTTTTTTTACCTTTCCTATTTTGCTGACTTTGCATAAGGCTTCTTTTCATTCTTACGTTGCATGCAGTGAGTGAATTGAGTTGTATTACCCAACCTGCATTTGGCATGTCTCTGTTGCATTGGTGAGCTACACCCACCCAGAAATTGTTCTGATTCACTCAAGCTGTAGATGAGCTGCCAGTAAGAGCTCGATTTCCGGGACTAGCTGGATGAGTGAGCTTTGAAGGCCATCTCTCCAGCTCAGGAGTTCATATTCACCGGGTAAATGGATCAGCCACATCCAAGCATTCAGCTTTTACAAGATACTAATGTTATCTCTTTAGATTGAGGCTCATCAAAAAGATTTCTGGCACACAGTCTTTTCTTCTACCTTCTCCTGACTGAACCAGAATCAAAACTACTCAGATCTATGGCATTATTGCATAAGCTTACCACGTAGTTGAGAGGTTCCCCATGACTTTGGAAAAGTACCAAACCCAAACTATTCAGCACTGGTCTAGGTGTCATAGACTTGTGTCAGCTGGATAAGGACCAGAATAACTGGTAACTGGTATGGCTTTGTTTACCATTCCTGCTATTGCCAATTGCTCACGGGGATTTGCTTGAATTTCCATATTTGACTGAATTGCCATTTTGATTTTGTGATTGACCAGCTGGCAAAAGCTGCTGTCAGCAGCTGTGTGTTAGCAAGGTGTACCCAAGTCCACATAGTTCTGCACTCCTCTGCCTCAGACATTCCTATGTCTACATCTGGGAACTTTCTATGATGTTGCATGACGTGGGGGCAAACTTTTTTCTCAGACTCCTTACCGTTAGAAGAAAAAAATCATGTGAGCAAGGTGAAATGTAAATATCATTGTCTTGTGGCTGGGGCATGAGTCTCATCCAGAATTGTCTTGGGTTCCCAAGATTGCTCATGTAAATAGCACATCCCCTGTAGGCAGATCTGGGTTGGCTTCACGTGCCAAAGTCTGTGAGCCCAACTGTTAAGATGTAACAGGCAAGCACTTAACGCTAATGACAGGGTATGGTCAGTAAACCCTGATAACCAGTGGTCCTTTCCAGAGTGTTAATGGAGAAGTATGGTCTCTGCTTATTCCCTCAGTGAAGAGATAGAGTCGTTCCACATCCCACAGTAATGCTTCTATTCCTGAATCTCACTTCCTGCCAGTGATATTTTGGAGCCTGCTAGGCAACGTCAAAGTTTCTGACTGTGTGTGAATCAAGAAAATTGAGCAAAATACTAAATGTCTATATAATTAGAGCACAGATATACCTCTATGACCAGCTCACCTCCCTTTTTGTGTTGGGAAAGGCCAGAACATGCCAGAGTGTGTTCTAGGAAAACATATGCTCCATGGGTAGATAATACAAGGAAACAGGCTCACTGGCACACTCAGCACCAAATGTAGGTTCAAGCTACTTGACAAGGATGCTATTTTTCTATGAGTCTCCTTTATTCTAATGCTGGAGAATGTTTCTAGTCCATTTTTTAAAAGAGTTGAATGCTCAAATCTCTCCATGTTGTTCTCATGCAATGAACACGTTCTCCCATTCTGTCCTTTCTGTTACTTATCTGATGGTCATCATGACTTCAGAGTGCTAATTTCTTAAAGGAAAATTTAATATTTGTCCTTTGAAAGTTCTTCTGCCTTTGGTCCAGAAACAAGAGAATTCTCCATACTCTTAGGACCTGGGAGGCCTTTTGGAAAACCTGTGTTTCAGCGATTTCAGGCATGTAGAGCAGTATAAAGTGTGGTACGTAAGTGTTGGAGTTTATGATTCATAGTTTCCAGTAGCCAGTGGTTTCCTTTCAATCATCCACCATTCAACCTCAAACATGTAGGGTTAGACAGGTGTGACTTCTACAGTATTGATATCAGCCAGTATTGCATTCCAGGGAACTGTCTACAAGCTGTTCAGGAAAGAGAGTGCTTAATGACTCTTGCCCTGAGTTGCATTCTTTTGTATGGTAGTCAGGCCACCCCACTTACATTTCCTGCATTTTGTGGTTGGATAAGACCATGAGCGGTTCAGGTTCATGCACTTGGTCTGTAGGATCTCCTAAGTCTTCGTGAAAGAGTTGGTGACCGTAAATGCTTGCCTTTGTCTTCTGCAACTTTCTCCTCTTTGCTTTGATAATTAGCTAATAAAAAGAAGAGTTAAGGATGTCAATTCTTCAGTCTCTGTAGTTCTCAGAAAAGTGAGATTGTCACAGCTATTAGTGGCTATTCAGAAATTCCCTTCTCAGGTCTAGGATGTTCATCAGGATAATCACATTCTTACTCATGTCAGCTTGCTTACTGCCAGACAAGCATCGCTCATTTACTGTTGTGGTGCAGCTCATGACTTCTTGATTGACGTACAGTGGGAAAGGCCACATTACCCTTGTATTGATTATGTGGTAGTTAATAGCACTGAAAAGTCTACTAGCTGTATATGTCTGGATAAATGACTGATTTTTTTTTTTGGTGCATTTATCATTCCAGTTCCTCTCTCATGCCTCAATAGTAATTTTTTTGAGATTCCTACTGGAGCTGATGGAAGATGGACCTTTCCCTGATTTAGCCAAGGTCTACTTGACTGCCATTTTACCCATTATTACTAGTTATCTGTTTCTCTGACCACATGTTTTTTAAGATGTTCACAGCAGAGTCAGCTCTGAGGTCAGACCAAGCTGCTCAGGGTTTCATCCAGTCTTGAAAAACCCCAGAGATGGAGACTGCACAACCTCTGTGGGCAACCTGTGCCACCGCTTGAGTATCCAGTCTGAACCTCGCATTTCAAATTGTGCCTATTGTTTCTTGTCCTCCTGCCATGCCACAGCTCAATGACCTCCCATAGGCAGTAGGAGCTGCTGATAGGTCCCTGCAAAGCCATCTCCAGGCTGAGCAAGCCCAGGTCCTCTAGCCAGTCCTTGCAGGACAAATGCTCCAGCCCCCACCATTTTGCTGGCCTCTGTTGGAGTTGCTCCAGTTTGTCAATGTCTGTCTTGGATGATCCCAAACTGAATGCAGTAAGTAAAAGTGGGTTAATACTTCCTTCAGTCTACTGGCTGTGCTGTTAACACAGCCCAGGATGCTGTTGTCCCTCTTTGCTGCCAGGGCACACTGTTGGTTCACATTCAGCTTGCTGCCTACCAGCTCCAGGAATTCTTGGGGTTCACAAGCATGTGTTGTTGCACGGAGCTCCTCCTTCTGAGGTGCAGGATCTTGTCTTGTTACATTTTTAAGGTTTTGCATTGGCTCATTCCACCGGCCTGTCTAAGGGCAACCCTGGCCTCCCATGTATTGTCCATCCGTCCCCACCTCCCACCCCTGCCCAGTTTGGTATCAGTCACAAACTTTATGAGCAAATGCTGTTAAGCAGTGCAGGTCTCAGGAGAGATTGCTGCAGTACTCCATTTTTACTGGCCTTCAGGTGGAGTACCACCCATTAACCACTACCATCTGAGCCTGAGTATCCAGGGTATCCAGCCTATTTTTTGTCCATCTCGCTGTCAAAGCATGCAGAATTTAATGCTCTAACTTTGATACAGTATATCATAGGAGACAGTGTCAAATGCACTCCTAAAGTTGAGGTAAATGATATCCACTACTTCACTATTTTCCTCAAATACAATGATTTTATCACAAAAAGCAACAAGGTCGGTCAGGAATGATTTACACCATGGCGTGCCTGTTGGTGGCTACATGCTGACTGTCATGATCACTTTCTTATACCTGTGCCCAGGAGTTTGTTTCAAGATGACTTGCTCTTTGATCATCTCAGGGACAGAAATGAGACTGCTTGGCTTGTAGTACCCTGGATTGTTCTTTTGGCCTTTCTGAAGATGGGTGCAATGCAATGTTTGCCTTCCGTCATCTGGGGATCTCAGATGATCAGATTGTTGCGTTGACTGGCATGATTTTTAAAATACAATAGAAAGCAGATTTGCGAGGGTATGGGCCATTTCTCTCATATCCTTGGATATAGTCTGACGCGTCCCATGGTCTCAGGTGGGGCTGAGCTCTTGCAGATAGTCACTGATGGATTGTCATCTACTGCTGATCACTCCTCTCCTCTCTGAGCCCTGCCTCTAAGCACAGAGGCATAGGAGACCTTGTCAATGAAGACTAAAGCAAAGAAAGCAATGAGTAACTCCCCTTTACCTGTTTCTCCTGTCACTAAATCACCTACCCATTCAGCAGCAGGTCCACACTTTCCTTGTTCAGCCTTTTGTTACTAATGTAACAGTAGAAGCCCTTCTTGTTGGCCTTGACATCCTTGCAAGTCTCAACTGGAGCTGAGCTTTGGTTTTTCTGACACCATCCCTACATGCCTGGGCAGTGTTTTACATTTCTCTTTTACAGCCTGTCCTTGCTTCCACCTGCTGTATGCTGCCTTTTTGCGTGAGAGTTCATCCAAGCCAACCTCTGGATACATCTACTTGTCTTGCTTAATATCAGGATGGACTGTTCTTGCCCTTGGTGGATGCTGTCCTTTACTGGCCTCTCCACTGATGCTGACCCATGGGCTCTCACACAGACAGTTGACCATCCTGTAGAACAGCTCCAATACATCTGAGCTGGTCCTTACAGAGATAGCCCCTCCTTGTCTTCCCTGTCTATCTTTCCTGCAGTGTGTACCTGTCCACTGTACCACTCTAGTTGTGCCAACCATCCCACCACACCTCCGTTGCTCCAACAGTGTCCTAGTTGTGTGACCACACATGAAGCTCTCATTTCCCTTGCTGATTTCCTAGGCTGCATGCATTCATACACAAACGCTGGAGATGGACTCCTCTTGCCTTTTTGTTTTACTTTCTTGAGGTTGCTCTTGCATCTTTTACTCCGCACTCCTTCTACCCTGATATACCCCTTCCTCACTTGACTTCAGGTTGTAATCTCACTTTTCCTGTGCTCCTAATATAAAACTTTTCTCACCAGATCTTGTTGCCTGTAGTAGGTGTGGCGACCTGGTTCAGGAACGGCACGGCGACCACTACCCCCAGGTCGCTCGGTCCATCGACACGCAGACACCAATGTGGTGGATGGCAAATGGCGTTTATTGATAAGTGACACTGCCTTATATGGCATAGGTTTACAACGTCACCTCCGTCTGCTTTCATCACGGACTAAATGCTATTGGGAGAGGGGCCTTATCTTTCTGTACAGCGCGAGATCTTCCAGTTGCCATACCCTAACTACCACAAGATTGACCAGTTTTTTTGGCAAAGATACTTTTTCCCCACCTTTTCAGGTGGATCCCGTCTCCGCCTGACAGTGCTCAACCCCTAAAGAGGGTCCTGCGGTCATGAAAGCCAAACCCCAGTTGCAATACAAGGTGTTGATCTGCAAGATCTGTATGTTTCTCCTTAAGCCTTTCTCCATCAGTGGAGACCAGCTGGGCCTCCATGACTTTGACCCTCTTACCCTGAGCCATGTTGCTCTTGATACACGCCAGGTCAATAAATAAAAATAACAACAGGAATGCTTCAACTGATACAACACTTACCAAAGAGGAGGACAGGAGAGGTGAGAGTACTCTCCTTGTGGACAGTGGTCAGGGAAGCTTTCTGGTCTCGAGTAAAAAAACACAAGTATATCCATGGTTGTGTCCTACACCCCTCACATGGCATTGCCTGCTGGTATGTAATATTAATTGGTTTTGGAATGAAGGCATGTCCTGAATGATTTTTCCATGAACCTTAAAGGAAATGTGGTGGATGACAATTCCCTTGATGACAATCATGTGTCTTAAGTGTAAGAGCACACCTTTTTTTTGGGCTTTGATTTAAGATAGTGCTCAAGCACAGGCAGCTTTAATGAACTTAAGTAGAAATTTTTATTAAAATGCAATTTTTTACTCTTATTTTTAGGTATTTCAAATTACTGTGAAAGATACCGTGAAGGTATGAAACTTGTTCTGAACACCTTTGGACCAGTGCCAGAATTTTCAGGTGAAATTGAGCAGAAAATCAATCAGGTAAAGATGGAGTTGATAAATGCGGTGACATTCAGAACAAAGAACGTTAGCTTTTATTTTAACATCTGTACCATTTCAGTTTTCTGTTAGAGGTATCTGTAGTCTGTATTTCTTGTGTGAACGCGCCTTGTGAACTAAAAGATCAGTACAGAATGCATGGTAAGTCCCTTTTCTAAGCACTTTGACATACATCAAGGAAAAGTGATCTAGCACCTGAACAACATTATTACTAGACAGAGGAGTCAACTGCTAATGACTATGGATTACTGACATTAAATCCTCCACACTATTTCTTATCACTTCTGTCCTGTGTTCCCTGCCATAATATGAACAGCTCCAAGCTTCCTTTCCTACATGACTTTTCTCCCTGTGTCTTCCTCCTTCTCCCTCTTCCTGCATAAACCCTGTAGCTTTTTTCTTCTGGGTGTTCTTTTTCTTGCTGTTGTATATGTGACAAACCAATCTGTAACGCATGCAAATACATCTTAAATTTAAGCATATGAGCAGCCCAGTACAGTTACTTGCATGTTTAAAGATAGGTTATGTTTAAGTGCTGTTCTGGATTGGGACCCAGTGTGTCTATTAACATTTCTAAGCCCACGGTTTGTTTCTATTCACTGTATAGGCTATTTTGTATAATCATAGGAATTAACTGAAGTATTTTTATTTCCTAACTCTGCCTTGTCATAGTTGGCTTTTTTAATGCTTTGCTAAAGAACATGTGTATGTATTGGAATTGTTCTTGAATAGCTGACATTAATTCCATAGGTGGAAGCTCTCTGTCTGGAAGACAGCATTTTTGTTCTTATTTATACAATTCAACGTCAACAATGTTAAAAAGGAAAACTATTCTTTTATGCTTAAGCAATATAGACTGCTTATAATAGCAATCAATAATAATTGTGGAGTTATTAATTATTAGAAGCTTTTGATTGCTATGAAACAGTTTGGGTTTCTTTATGGAAAGCTGGATTCCACTTCAACGTCCGTTTCTGTATCTCTTTATTATCTTCGGTCTTCAATGCCAAAGATGGGTTTGCAAGAATCCTCTTAAGAGTAAAACATTAAACATTTCTTATCTCCTCCGACCCTCCCCCTGACTTTTTTTCTGGAGTGATTGCAACTTGCCGGTCATTGGTAGCAGGTCCAGGTTTTACCCAGTTTCTCAACACTTGCCTTTTAAACCTAAGACCTCAGGTGCTATTTTGGCAAAGATGACCTTGTGATCTCTACCTGCACTCTCAAAACAGCTTTTTTACTTTGAAAGAACATCTGTTACAATGTATGATCTGGTCAGAGCTTACTACCTCTTGTTCTCCTTTCAACAGTAACATTTGACTAGCACTTCTATGACAACTTTGATTATGCAGTCAAAAATATTTTTTTTCCATTTTGTTTTAAATATAATTTTTGCATGATAACTTGTTCAGACTGCCACCTTTTGTGTCCTCAAATAGTGCTTACTTTCTTTCCCCCATATTCCAATAAACAACCAAAATTATAATTCTGGGTTTGTTACGTGTCTTTCTCTGTCATTTCAATTATAACTGGCACTCCTGAGAAAAAATGTTTTTAATAAACATTTCTAATTTATTTAAAAACCATTATTCTTCATTACATTTATTAGGACCCAGGAGCGAGATCACAGCACAGAGAGGAATTTGGTTTAGAGCACATTTTTAGCCACGTAAATGACCAGGTTGCCTCCTTCCTATTTAATAGAAGGTTATTATCAAAGAGACTAGGCAGTGGCTGCGTGGGACAAACTGAGAGGAGGGGCTGATGCTTTGATGTTTCTGTAGGAACCTTCATTGCCACATTCAGGCCAACCTTCTCCAAGTGGGAGCGCTTTTCTTCTCGTACTGGTTAGCTCATTTCCAGTGACCCATGTAAAGAATTAGTGGCTATTGCTTGTGATAGACTAGACTGTGGTTTGTGGGGATGGTTACTTGGTCTGATGCAGGAAAAGCAGGAAAACGATGCTGGTGAGAAGCTTTTCCCTCAGAACATTAGATTTAATCATCTTAAATTTTCTCTTCCAGGCAATGTGTGAAAAAATTCCAAGTGTTCCGAAAATCCTGGATGCCAGGAGAAAATGGAGAGATGACTGTCTCACTGGTCTTGCCAAATTGAAAAAAGAAATGAAATCTGACTGAGGTGCACCTTGTCTAACAGGAGAGAGAGACCAAATGAAGAGCAGGTCTTCATAAAGAGTGGAATTTTTTTGGTCATGCAGAAGAGGAGACTGAACGTGCAACCAATGATATGCACAAATGTAGAGACCAATGAAACATTTGGTCCAAATTTGTTGTGACATAATTCATGAATAACTGGAAACGGTTATTTAAAAGTTCAGCTAAAATTCATCAAATTATTATTATATATATGCATTAGATGTGTAAGCATAAAGTAGCTTTAGCAATATTAACATTGTGCAATGCTGGAACACAATCACGTTTTAAATAATGCATTTTTCAGCTTGCTTGGGAATTCAGTGCTTGAACAATATTTGCTTACGCAGGGATCTGACATAGGCAAACATCAGCTGTTTGTCACTGGGGAAAATAAGCCCTCACCCGCCAATCACTGCCGGAGTGAGGTTAATCTGTAAAGCACTGACCGTAGATAGGAGAGGGCTGTGTTGAGCAAAGAGCAGATTCACTGGCTGGTGAGCTGAGACCTCAACAGCAGTAAGGGTCACCTCAACTTAGCTCTGTAACTGTTCCACAATGTAGGGGAAGGAATTGCTTTTCCTTTCCCTCCCTTTGGCACTTCTGTAGCTGTAGGATGATCTAAGTTTGAGTAAACAGAGCAGAATCCCCCCCTCATCCCCTGCCCCTGGTTCTGTAAGAACTCATCAGAGACCTACTCCGTTTTTAAGGCCATGTACTTGATACCCCATGGCTTTTCCCCCACCTGAAGTCAGAAGTGTGGTGCTCACCATTGGCATTGCTGCATAAATATGTGCCACATTTTAAGACTTGTCTAGGAAAAAGCAGGTATTTTGATTTCATAGCTAGCTTGAGAGACAGTATGGTGTAGTGGATCAGCCTGGACTTCCTCCCAGGCTACTCTGTGACTACTCCCAAACTACTCCAGTTCACCTCTCTGTTTCCATGCCTGTTTTGTACATTATCTGAAGATAGGAGTGCTTCTTTAGGACTCAGCACTACTGAATTTAACAGCTGTAGCTGAAGGGACACCAGGTATCTGCTGGTTTTCTCCCCCCCAGAGGGAAAGGTGCAATGGATGAGATGTAGCATTTATGCTTTACTGCTGCCCTTCCTGCAGGAGACACGACATCTCCTGCACGTACAAAGATGCAGTGCACACCTGGAAGTAGTGATACTCTCAGATGCTGCACTGGCGTGTTGTGGTCCACAGCAGACAAAATGTTATGAATGTATATGCCCTGTAATACAGTTGGACTTGGATCTTAGCCGGAACCTTGGGGCAGTGTTGTTCTGCAGATGGTGAGGATACCTCGACACCGCGCATCGCACCCACGCTGCTGGGGTTAAGTGTTTCTGAATTTGTGCTAACTGGTCATGTACCTTCAGTCCCAGAACAGATGCAGAAGCGTTGAGCTGTCATTTTGCTAATGCTCAGCTCAGGGGCATTTCAAATCTTGTTTTTTACAGAGGGTGCAGCACACAAACAAGTTACTGAAACTTAGTCAGTTGAGCTGAACAGCAGATGTGTCTGTGTGAACACACCAATACCACTGATTTCTGCTTAGGTCACAGTAAAAAAGGCCTAAGATAAATTGTATCACTTGACCACTTAGTGGGCCAAGAACACATCTCTGGATGTGAAACACGGAGTGGGAGGCATAATGCTTGAGGTTGTCCTGTGCTCCTTTATAATCGGTGACGAGAAAAGAAAATTTGTAAGCTGAATTTATTTTATCTCAATATCGACTTAAAATTGTCATGTTTCTTCTATTACTTTTTATTGCCACAGGAACTGGCTCAACCTGCATTCAGACATCTGAAGTTGGGGAGGTCAATCTTTGCTCCTGATGACTTATTAAGCAATAGAAAATTAATTATGGGGCTGATTTCCTCATTTTATGTATGTTCTTGTACTTGAAACAAGGCCACAGAAGGTTCCAATTACTTTCAAGATTAGTCCTGTTTTTCTATGCGCATATGACATTGTAATTAGCTCACATTGCTTCTGTTTATACTGATATTTTAAAACTGGATCATGTCATCAAATATTTGCCTCCATCTTTATTATTTGCTTATGAATAAAATATTTTAATGAAGAAGCTGTTCACTCCTGTGCTCCCGTGTGATAGTCTAGTGGTAGCAGTACGTAATATGTCTTTAGAAGCCACTGCCCGGGTAGAACAATTTGTGGGAGTCAGTGGGAGTAAAAAGACAAGAAATAACGTGCACTCTCCTATAGTTCTTGGGTGACCAGTTGCTGCAGATGCCATGAGGGAATGGCTTTTGGAGGGGGGTGGAAGGACTCTGGATGCCAGAGCAGTCCTGTGGGGTGAGCAGCTCCTCGCAGGCTCTGGTGTACAGCAAAGCTCACCGGGGAGCATGAGGTCTCACCCAGGCTCACAATTATGAGCTGGGGGCAGGGGGGTGATGTTTGACAAAAAATGCATTTTGGTTGACATTTGCTTGGGATTTGAAGCCCACAAAAGTATTAGTTGGTAACTGCAACAACAAGTGGAAAATATTAGGAAAAGGTAGCTAAAGGAATGAGATGGGCTGTCCTCATCCCAGGGACCTGTACCCTGTTCACAATTAATCCCCTTTACTCATCATTAGACTGTGTCTGAATCCTGTGCCCAGCTTGGGACTCCCTGTACAAGAAAGATACTGGACAGATGGTAGAGGAGGCCCCTGAGATGGTGAGGCTGGAGCACTAGTCCAGAAGAGAGAGGCTGGGGGACCTGGGGTTGTGTAGCCTGGAGCAGAGGCAGGTTCAGGAGGACCTACCAGCAGACCCCGGTGCCTGTGGGGAGGTCATCGAGGAGGCAGAGACAAACTTTTCAAAGTGGGGCCAGATGGGATGATAGAGACAATGAACATAAGTTGAAACACAAGAGTTTCAGCCTGGATGTAAGGAGACACTTTTCCCCTCATGAGGACAACGAGGCACAGGTTGTCCACAGACATGGTGCATCCTTGGAGGTTTTCAGCTCCTGACTGGATGAAGCCCTGAGCAGCCTGGTCTGATCTCAGAGCTGAGCCTGCCATGAGCAGGAGGTCTTCTGAGCTCCCTCTCAGGCTGCATTAGCCTCGTTCCTAGTTTGGTTTGATTTTGGCCTATTTTGTATCATCAGAAATATTGCTCTGGTTTAATTAAATTAAATCCAAAGAATGGGTATAGATTACTTCAAATTTCATGTGTTGAGGACTTCTTAACCTAAACTGTAAATGAAATTTAGGATGGTGTGAATAGGTGTGACTAAATCTGCATTCAGGTTTTTCCATGCATTTTCCTGGGCAGATGAATGTAATGTCACAACCAAATAGTCACAACTTTTCACATGTAAAGAATTCCATACAGAAAAGTCTGAGCCACCCAAAATCCCATGTTGTTGGTCCACAGGGGTGGCCCCTCCTGGTGATGGACAGATGTTTCATTAACCTTGTTCAGTGTCTCCACTGCTCTGGGCTGCTGGCAGGAGCAGAGTTTGACATGTACCAGGAGGGGAGTGTTCCCCTCTCCCTCTCTCTCCCCATTTTCAGTTTTTTTCCTTTACCTTCCTCTTGGTTCTCTGCTTCCCATAATAGTCCATCACTAACTTCTTACAGGGTATTTAGCTGACAATTTGGACAGAATAGATTTGCTAATTGGACATTGAAGGATCCCTTCAGGGGAGCAACTCGTCAGAGCTGAACTCCTTGTAAGATACAAATCCCAATTCTGTTGAATTAATTGCTTTAATTATTTTCTTCAGATTCGTCTTACTCCTTTTATCCCATTACTTTTTTTCCTCATATGCAATAGACTTCTTGGGATTTTATGAGGACTGCACCTGGTATTTTTTGAGGACTCTTTTGGAATTAACACCAGCAGTCCTACAAAGTTGCAGAACTAGTACAGATGCGATCAAATATTTATTTTGTTTGAATGTCAGCAGAAGAAGCAATAGTTGCTTGAATGTTCAAGCAACTGTTTTATGGTAATCTATGAGATATTTGGAAGAATTTATCACAGTTGCATATTTTAAAATCCTGTATTTTTTAAATCAAGTTGCACCTATAGACTTTCCTAAATCTCTGTCTTTGTTGCACTGAAGTTTTCTCTTTTACCAATTTGATATTTATTGTTTTCCTTATTATGTGTACTTTGCTGTTAGTTACTGCTGCTCGTTGAAATCAGAGTCCAACGTGTTCATACCAAAGCCTTTGATTTAAAGCTGTTGGAAATCAAACCATGTGTAAGCTAAGGAAGAAAGGAACCACTCATCTGCTTCACTGAGGGAAGTCTAGTATCTCTGTTTCCTAAATGTCTGAGTGGAGTAGTTTGTAGCTCGCAAAGCAGCTGTGGGAATTTACTCTCCCTATTCTGTAGTTATTCTTCTGTTCAGTCATGATAATAGTTTGAAAGTTAAAATGTGAGTATTTTCTGATTGCCGTATTATCTAATTGGAATGGTCTTAAGAAATTGCATTATCCTATCTATACCATCTTTACTTCATTAGGGAAGCAGGATGGTGCTTGTTATAAAAACAGAAAGAATGATTTTGAGACAAAATTATGTCATTGTCAGTCTCAGTTTCTCAAAAGAAAGATGAGATGTGCTGCCAGTGCCTGTAGAGTTACATGCCAGGATTGCATTGCTGGAGCAGGGAGTAACAAAAAGGTCTTTGAGAACATGGGATTGGGGTACCTGTGCAGGGACGGAGATACGGGGGGTGGGAGCCCTCCATGAGAAGAGGAGCCCGGCAGATGTGAACCTGGCAATTAGTGTAAGTGTCAGTAGGAAAAACAAATGGTCTTTGGCTTTCAGCAGCCTAACAGGCCCAAAGGGAATGTTTCACAAATTAATTTGGATCTAGCTGGAGTAAATGAGTGTAAATGAATACGTTTGCTCTAGCTGCCTGCTCATCTGCTCCCGTTCCCCCAAGCTCCAGTCAGGCTGGCACTCGCCTGCGCTTTCCATTTCATGTGTGTGTGTGTGTGTGTGTGTGCACGCTATTGCAAATCAGTCAAAGTGAGTGGAAAGGCAAAAACCGACCCTAGGGGAAAACTCACATTTGATTTGGTAAGGCTCTTTATCAAGCCAACAGACAAGGACTTCTGCTCTTTCAGAAAGAGAGAGGAATTCCTCCCTTCAGTGCATTACTCAGTGGTTCACAGCTCAGAGCACACAGCTCAGAGTCACCCATGGGCTGGTACTTCTTGTCCTTCATTTTTCAGTTAGAACTTTCTTCTCCCCTCCGAGTTTTTTCTTTTACTGTACAAATTTAATTCGGAAGAGTCATTTTACCAGCGAATACAAGCTAATATTCATATATGAATAATGATAAATATATATCATGATTTCATATATATCATCATGAATATATATGATATTCATTCAATCAATATATGGTTTTTATAAGGAATCACAGAGAGAGAGAGGAGCTTAAAGCTGGCATATTCATTTGAATGTGTACGTTTAATCATATAAAAGCAATATTCAAATGGCAAGATTTAAGCTGCGTATCTTAATACTCATGAAGGTTTAAATATTACTTACAGCATGTGCTGGGAGCAGACCAGCAGCAAAGGTTGATTCCTCGCCGCTGTGTCCATACAAGGCTATCAACTGGGAAGAGTGAGTTCCTGCATCCTCCACTGCTGCCTGTGATGCCATAAGGCACAGAGCCCGGACTGCTCACCCCTCTTCCTTCTCTTAAAAACGGGAGGTCAGAAAAGAAACTGGCAATTTAAATAGCAAATGCTGTCATATCAATAGTTTCATAAGAATTGGGGGGGAACAGATGCTAAGAGTACCCTTTTGAGGCAAAACAGGGCAACCTTGAATGTTTGACCCCCCCCGAATTTGCTCAGAAGCTCCAGTTTGCACACACTGGTCCGTGGTTGTGAAACGCTCCCAGGACGGTTTCAGCTGGCTCTGGCTGCAAGTGAAGCCATGAACAAATGCAGCTGGACTAGCAGTTTTTTGTACACAGCTCATCAGAAATTGGCCCAGTGTCCTCCTGGCTGTGAGCAAAAGCCTGCACCGCTCCTATGGGAGCAGGGCAAATTACAAGGAGAGCTGTTCATAAGGGCGCTGTTCCCACAAAATTCAGTGGACTTCTGAAATACATTAAACCTTTTTGTTTTCTAGTTTGATAGAAAACAGTGTGACTTCCTTTCTTAAAGTGTATTCAAATAACTGCTCCACAGGATTGCACATCCCTCAGCATTTTCCCTTCTCTTTCTGATGATTTTTGTTCCTTCAGCAAGGGTGGATTGCCCTTCACCAAACACTGAATGAGAGGGACACTTGGAATAAAATGGCACTTAGCATGCATGGGATTTCCTCTTGAACCTGAGTGTGAAATGGGCATTTTTAACGCTTGGCTTTGTAGACTTCTTCCAGCTACTTGGATTTCAGACCTGTATTTGCAAGAAGCAGAGATGTGTAAGATGCAGAATCATCCGGAAACTTGTTTTCCTTTATCTATGAGTAAAATGTAGTCTAACATGGAAAGGTCATGAGCCCATTACTTGCATGTGGATATAGGACAGCTTTGTGCAGAAGCTATACTTACTTTTTAAATAGACTCTATAAAATAGAGCTGTAAATTTGCCCTAAATTGGACATTTGATTTGTTTAGCTTAGGTCTAGATGATGACTACTGCTACAGTGTCAATGTACTGACCAAGGGCTCCATAAGAATCCAACAACTCTGTGTTGACACAACAGGTGTTTTCCAACAGAAAACATTAAAAAGCCTCAGTAATTTAAAACATTGTGAAAACCTTCTTTTGCATGCATGATGTGTTTGAATTTTAACATCACATCTTGCACTAATTTTTCCAATATCGTAACGGTACATACTTTCCATATGAAGCCACGGTTGCTCGTTCTTGGTTGCCTTTAACAGATAATACTCCTAAGGAATACAACGGAGGCATTTTTTTGCAGCCCAGGGAGAAAGTGATGAGGCTGAAAAATTCTCACTGTCACCCTGATACTACTAAAGTACCTAAATTGAAACTGGCACTACCAAGGCATGGTTTACCATTGCCTTCTGCTTCACTCCAGCACCTGCCTCAGTGAAGACCTTGAGCATTTCCATGTAGCACAGACGAGTTCTTTATGTGTGCATTGCTCCCGCGGGCACCAGCAGCAGCCGGTCAGCTTTACACCCAGCTGTGTTGCTCTGGAGCTTGTATTTTCTTTTTAAAAGCTCTACTTAAAAACTTAATGGGGTGCAATCTGTCTACTGAGTTCTTAGCAGTAACACAGAAAGTATTTCTTGCAGTTAAAAACAAATTATTGGAATTACCGCTATAATACAAAGGCGACAGACCAAGCATTGCAGAGCTTTCCACACCACCTTATAACCACAAAAACAGATTTTCCGATATTACTCAGCAGTGTCGTTTCAAACCCATGCAATAATGGAAAGATGTAATTGTGCCATTTCAAACATACGGGGCAGTGGAAATAGGGAATTGCAAAACCAGGCAGTTTAGCCAAGTGGGCAGTGCCTGTGCCTGATCCCTATCGTACAGAACTGTATGCAGTGGCACCAAGTCGCATCGTGTAATTCTGTAAACCAGAAATGTTTCTTAAATTTGCTTTTGGTTTTCCTTTTTCAGGAAGAAAAGTTAATTAGAAACATCATCTCCCCCCTATCAAAATCTGTTTCAGAGCATAGTAAAGGGTAATTACAGCAGTCTGATCAAATTCTAAAGTCTGAATATCTTCAATTGCTGAAGGAGACAACATAATACTTCTCTAAATTGTCATTTACAAAGCAAAAGCTATTAAAAACAAGGCTTTGAGAGCAAAGAAAAATTAAATATAACTTTTCTAACAAGATGCAGGTATTATTTATATTACTACAAATAAAAACGTACTTCATTAAGTATGTTTTAATCTGATTTTGGTATCTGAATAGTTTCTTATAAATAAAACTACTAGATAGGGATTAATGCAATCTTATTTAATCATCAGTAAAAGTGAGGTACGTGCTTGTTAGTCTTGCCCCAGTACACTGTATGAACAGTGCTTACTGTGTCTGCATATATCTTTAGGTTTCGAGTCTCTTCTCAGAAAGAAGAAGAAGCCCCCTCTGCAGAGCAGAGCCTCAGGATTGCGCTGCCCTACCAACTCATCACACTGACTGCCCCAAACTTGCCCTGACAACTGTCCAGACAGCGGTCGCTGACTGTACCTCGAGTAATTACTGCCATGTGCACCCTTTAGCAATCCTGAACCCATGCATATGCAGAGTAAAAGAAAGTGTCATTTCCAGCTGCCACCTCTCTGTAACCTGCTGATGAGTTTTGGGAATGGGCCTTGCTCTGACAGCCAGCTCCTGGCTGTGACGGTGCTGGTCAGAAAATAGGTGGTATGGGTAGCCTTGCCCACAAACTTCTCCTCCATTTCTTGGGCCTGATGGGTCTGTGTCGGCCTCCTGCCTGGCTTGCTCCCCTGTTTGTGTAGCAAAAGAGTTTTGGTCATAATGTTTAAATAGGCCAGTCTGCCCAGTCCAGCCCATAGGAAGCCCAGCCACAGCCTGTTACAGAATTCTAGAATTGTCTAGGTTGGAAGGGACATTTAAGGTCATCTAGTCTGAACGTCAGCCTAACTCTGATAAAAAACATCACTAAACCATGTTTCATAGCTAGAAATGGATGTTAGTTGTTCATCCTCAGCCTAAGAAACTTGGACTATTCACCTGTAAAATCTATTTTTTCCTTCCAAGATAATTTACCTGCAAAAGCTGAGCGAGGCCCCTCTGCCCTAGCACTATACTGGGCCAGGCTCCCTGTTCCATGATCCCTGATGCAGCTTTTCTGATTTCCCCTAATGCAGGTTACCACCAGCTGCCACCCTTCTGATGGCCTTATTTAAGTGTGAGGAAAGCTTGAGAACTTTCCATGAGACAAATATCCATCTTATCAGCAGCATATAGCTCTTTTGCCAAGATGTGTGTAGTTGTAGGACCTCCTTCAGGTGGCCATGTCAAAGGCTTAGAAGCCTATATTATCATAATTAAAAGGCAGAGATGATCACCACTGGATGTTAGAGCCTACAAGAATGACTTGAATATGACTGTGATCATGATTTACGAATACTATGTCACAAACAACAGAGATAATTTGGAAGGTGCACATAATTAAGGCAGTGTTGAGAGACTTCTAGAACAATACATGATCACCTTGTTTATAGTAGGAAAGACGAGAACTGAATAAAGCTTGGCTACAATGGGAAGACTGTTTTGTTTATCATTAAGTCCATAGCTGTCTCTTACTTTTGGTAACACTCAGCGAGTTTATTATCAATGGTGGCACTGGAACAGCATTACTCTGGTTGCTTCTCATAAGTCCTCATTCTTGGGTACATATCCTCTAGGAGTTTCTCCGAGTAAAGCAAGACCTTGTGTTTTCCAGCTCTTTTTTACATGTGACCATACATTACACTTTGTTATATTTCTTCTTTTTCCCTTTTTTTTTTTAAATCTTCCTTTGAATTGTCCATTCACCATTCACCATCCACCTCTGCTTCCACATTAGTCTCTTCTGATAACCCCTTTCTTTATCATTGATGTTTCTCAGCTGCTCAGAGGATCATCTTTAATTTTAAAACTACCCATGTGGATTAATTGCTATCCAGATGTTGTACCAACCTCCCACTCCAGCCTCTTCAGGCAAACAGCATTTGTGGCAACTACTAATTTTCTTTCACTCAATAGATGGGATTCAGATGCCAGCCTCTGGCCATCTGGACACTGCTGGATCATGGTTGACGTCCCAAGAGCCTGTTTTGGTCCTTCCCCAGCAGCACGCTGCAGTTTCTGAGGGACAGCCCAGCTGCCCATTGGCAGCAACCCCTCTGACTCACATTCCTCCCAGAAGAGTGCTGTGTGCGGCTGGCAGTGGAGAGCCAAATGCAGTCTTTTCCTAATCCTCTCTGTTGACAGTGATGTTTGGCTTCTCCGATTTAATCTCCTGATACATTCCAAGATGAAGCTGCTCCCTGTTTTACGGCTGACTCAGTATTTTTCTGTCAACACAGTGCCTGCTGAGATCATTGGTGATCAACTGCTCTGGGAGTCTTATAAAAAAGTTACTGGCACAAGGCCTTTTTATAACACAAGGTTTTTATATTTGGATCTAGAAGGCAGAAAGCAGTAGATGCAGGACCCTGGTGGCAAGTGTGGTCCCTGTAACAGGGGACATTGTCCCTTTTTTAGGCTGCCAGGGCAGCTCTTCCACCCCTCAGCTCCTGTTATTTGCCTTTTCATCTCCTTACATCCTCTCTGAGCAGCAGAGACCCCACCATTGGCAGCACGTGTGGTGGATGTTCCAGGCTGCTGTGCTCTGCCCTCACTTTTATTCCTCTTACTGGTGCAGCTTCTCTGAGCCTGTCTTCCCTCCAGCTCTCACTTCATATTCTTTCTTTATATTCTCCACCCACAAGAGAGATTTCTGTTTGTTTCCAGGTCTGTTTGGCAAATACCGTCCTTCCAAACATGGTTTGCTCAGGGGGTCCTTGCTCTTTGTTACTTGAACTATTATTTTCAAGTGGTTTTTGTGGTATAAACTACAATTTCTCCTGGAGAAAACTATTTTTTAGCAAATCTGTGACACCTGTTCCTCTTTTTTATTCCTTTTGTAGGGAAACTATGAAATGCTTAATAGATGCTTCTACTTTTGTGAGTCTTTTTCTCCATCTGGATATGCAACCAGCTACAGTCGCACAAACGCCATCTCCAGCTGGCATACTTGGGAAAACCACAGTAGCTGGGTGGAGAAAGT